ACATCCAAGAGAGCGTGGGTTCGAAACTGGTTGTACATGGTTTTCTTTCGTTTCAGTTTGATAATTGGAGATGAGTGTGAGCGCCTGGGCTTTGGACTGGTTGATATCAACACCCCCCCCCTTGGCCCAATCCAGAAATTAGTGAGAAATATTTGCTATTTGCCACACACGCTTGCCAATTTCTTTTATTTTCATTTTTTATCTTCATTTTATATAGTTTAGTAAATAATTCATGAAAAATTGAAAAATGACTCAATTAATTCCATTCTTTTTTCCATTGATTCATGATTGAATCTAGTTTTTTTTAGATAAAAAATATTAATATTTCATGCATTTTTGATTTTATTTGCATTTGTTGAATTTTAATTGATGTTAAAATAATCATGGTTGATACTTTGTTTTGTTGAATTTGGTTTGATCATTTGATGATGATTCTTGCCTTGATTTTTTGTGTGTAGATAGCATAGATATGCATGTTCCCTCTATATTTTTCTCACATTTTTGTGATGAATGTAAGTGGTAGTTTTAGGTTGAAACTTTAGGAGATCCATTTTTAGGGTTTATGGTTAATACCTTATGATTTAGGATTTATTTCTAGGACTTGGTGGATGATTCAACCTCTGGATTTTGTATGGTAGATTCATGATTGAATTAGGATCCCTTAGGAATTTTTGTAGGAATTTATAATGTAGTTTACTATTTTTGTTTGATTTTAGTTTAGGTGCTAACTTTGGATGATTCTAATGCACTAATTTGACTAGATTAACCCCTTAGGTTCCCTTAGAGTAAGCTTGTGTTGTTTTTACCCTTGGTGGATGATGAAAGCAAGTTGAAGATGCAATGGAGTGCTTGAAGAAGTTTGGATGTGAAGATCTTCCTTCATAAACATGGAAGATGTTGATCACTTCCATTCTTCCCTATGATGTAAGGTCCCCTGTGAAGGCCTCATCCCTCCTTTGGTAGGATGTGTGGCTCTTTACCAGTTGGTAGAACCTTTGAGGGTCCCTTTCTCTGATGATAGGATGCTTAGTGGTGACCTTTGGTCTTCACTCTGCTGTCAATCTCTGATGAAGGATGAACTGATGTCAGAGTTGCTTTGCTGTGAAGCTGTGGAAGCTGTTGATTTGCTTTCTTTCCTGTCTGTTTACTTTCTGTGCAACTGTATTGATGTGACTTGTTTGATTTGCTTGATGCATTAGAATAAGTTCATATTTAGATTGATTTAAGCTAGGAGCATGATTTCACTAGAGGTTGAGTTGCTCCCTCTGCTTGTACTTTTACTGTATGGCTTTGCTTGCTGGTATTTGGTAGAGCCCAGCTCCCTTGCCTGTGTGGTTTGTGTTTGCTTGATAGCATTTTATTCCTCTGTATGATTGCAGTTATTCTATCTTGCTTGATAGCATGTTATTCATTCCTTTGTATGATTGCATTTATTCTATCTTGCTTGATAGCATGTTATTCTTTCTGTATGATTGCAGTTATTCATATCTGGCTTGAGGTTGAGATGAGCTTGTGGAGGTTGATGTCCCACACACATTTCCTCCCTCACTTGCATTGCATGCATTTTACAGTCGTTTACTGTTTAGTTGATGCTTTATCTGTTTCCTGTATCCCATTGACATGATCCCTTAGGAATCTCACTTCCTTTGATAAGGAAGTGATGATTAGAACTTTAGGTCGAAACCTATGCATGACAACTTCTAGGAGATCCCTGTTTCAAACCTCAACCATAGCATGAATCCTTGGCATGACAACATTAGGACTTGATAGTCTCCCCTTAGTTGTCCCTCTCTCTTCTCATCTCAAAACAAATTAAAATACAGTAATAAAGGTTAACTGACGTCGTACGTTACGAGCCTTAAGCCACCTGAGAAAGAGTTGTTGGAGAGTTCTTTTCAATAGCTTGGATGTTTAGTATGGTACCCTTTGGGTGACATGCGACGCATTCACTCTCAGGTCATAGTCTCTAGTGCGATATTGGTTGCAAACATCCATAAAAAACAGTTCTTCCGTAAAAGACAAAAAACAAACTTCAAACCTTTTTTCCCCGTGGGCCCATAAGTTAAAGGAAGCTTTTCTGAAGAAAAGAGTGTCGTTAACTCCCAGTTCTACTGCAAACGGTAACGCCTAAGTCTCAAAGGGTCGAGCTGCGTACATCCAACTGCTGGAACTGTTTGTTAACCCTACTCGATAAAACAGATGAATCTGAATCCCCGTAATATGTATTATCCCGAACTACGTAAGCTCTGATCTCTCATGCCTGTTGAGAGTACGTAGGCACAATACTGACGTATTGGCGAGCAACCTTCCCCGTAACCCGTAGTTAGGCGAAATACGTCGACTCTGATTTCTCATTCTCTGATGAGAATACGTAGGCATAAAGCGCGACGCTTTGCCGAGTCATTTTCTTTTCTTTTTGAGCCAGCCTTGATAGGTAGATAGTAAAACCAACCCGTCATATAAACACAACAAGCGTGGATCCCATCGAGTACGATGGACGTGAGGGGTGCTAATATCTTCCCCTTGCGTAACCGACTCCCGAACCCAGACCATGGTTGCGATGACCTTGTCTTATACCTTTTCGTCAGGTTTTTCCGATCGTTTCCTTTCCCGTTCCGAGGGATAAATAACGAAAGGTGGCGACTCTTCTGTTTTGCCGGCACCTTATTTTCGCGGAAGCGACACACCTATGGCTTGTATTTGTTCTATGGCATTTTGTCTGATTCACTTCATCTGTCTCTCTCCTTCTAAGTTTCTTGGGCATACCTGGGCCATGTTTGAACAAAGGGAGCAGCATAGTTTCATTGGATGTTTTTGGCCATTTGTTTTGGTCATTGAATGGGGTGATCACTTCCTATAACATTTTTCGTATGTTCTTTTGTGGCAACCCTTATACACATATTTGACTGGGTCATCCACTTTCCTATGTATGGCAGCCACACTATGTCTACACGGAATCCCAACAAGTTCCCAATAGTTGCATGAACATGATTGTTTTTCTAAATCCATTACAAAACTATTAGTAAAAAATACATGTGTAACTTGAAAGGTTAATCTACCAACATAAGTTGTTGTCCAACTAACACTTCTTCAATCTTTCTATCTAACCTCCTTAATGATTTTGTCATTATCTGCCCTTTATAACTATCTACCTTTTCTCTAAGTGTTGCAAACCTTCCCATTAGGTAATTCCTAATCCACTCAAACATGGTAATGATTGGTTTGTCTCTTTGTAAAAGAATTGTTGCATTAAAAGACTCACTTAAATTATTCATTAACACATCACACTTTGAGAAAAAAGGAAAAGCATGCTTACACCACTTTATTTTGGGAATTGCCTATAACCACTAATAAGCCTTCAAAAACCCGAACTAGACCCTAAACCAAGAAAATGTGAATTGCATTAGTACATTTAAGTTACTGAAAAAATGGAAATTATACAGTCTTGTGTAGTATAGTTTTAAGGTCCACCACATTTTTTCTGGTCCTCACCCACCTTGAAAACAAAATCCTTGCTTAAAGATTCTTCTTGATTAAACTTGATTACATAAGGCCTTTCATCACAACTATCAGCATCATCACCACTGTCCAGTTCATCAGTCATGTATGCATCTTCAATGACATGTTCTTTACCCATCTTTTCTGTTATAAAAATCTTCTTATCTACATGAGCAATACCCTCTTCATTTGCAACAGGTCCATCTTTTGGTTCTTCTTTAACTTCATTATCAAACACTTCATCAAGCCCTTCATCAAACCCTTTCATTCTCTCCCCCTCACTATCATCAAATTGAACACCTCTAACAGATTCATCACTTGCTTCAATTAACCTGTCACAATCTTCATCACGTTTGACTCCCTTTCCCCTTTCTCTAAACTTATCCATAAAAGTATCCTCTCCTACAACGTTAGGCTCACAAAATATCTCACCATCACACTTATTTCCTACAACAAACATGGCTAACTCAGAAGCATCTCCATCATCCCTAAATGATTTTAAGTCTTGTTCAAAGGATTCTTCATCATGTTTCCACCACATCTTAACACGACCTATATCAAACTCAGTTTCAATCAACTTAACTAGGTCACATGTTTCAAAGAAAGACCAATAATCAGGATCTTGACCACTAAAAGCATACATTTCCCCTCCCTTATATCTTATGTTAGGGTCTTTTACGAAACAACCATTTGAGTAAAATACAACCTTGAACTTATCCATCTCATGTACACAAAATTTAACCTACGTTTAAAATTTACCATTACCATGTCAAATTGATTTGCCTTAATTTTTTCTAAAAATGGCAACAAACTTATTAAACAAATGGCAATACCAAGTAACACATTGAATAAAACGAGACCACTAAGAAAGCAATGAATATGATGTACAAAAGAGGGAACATAGAGGAGACAGAGTATAATACTTGGGACCACTTGCTCGCCTTCTTAGAAATTTGTTTTTGGGACCTGCAAACCAAGATTTCTTCTTTGAATGGAGTGAAAACTTGTTCATTGTTCCTTGGTCAATGCGCACCTCCAAGACAAAAAGAATGGAAAGTTCTGCCAGGACACACTTCTAAAGCGGATTGTTTTAGCCGTGTTTCATTTTCATCACTTAAAAAGATTATCTTATCAATATTTTTCACAATGGCGAATTGGAATTAAACATATCACATGTAATCAAAACAAATACTATAGGTGACATGACACATAAGCCTCCCTTGATAAAACTAACATAAAGAACCATATTTTAAAAAAAGAAAACTTTGTGAGAATAAAAATTTTAAATTTTTTTTTTGTAAGAACTAAACTATAAAAACTAAAAACATATTTTACCCCTTTTTTATAATAAAATGAGAAAGAGAGTAATAACAATATCTATCTGCACAAAAATAAACCCCAAGCAAACTATTTCTTCAGAACACTTCACGCTATTCCCCTTCTTCTCCGATCCACGTAACTGTTTCTTTTCTCCTCCAAGCAAACTAGGGTTTCATCCAATCATGAACTGTGAAGTTTTCCAGCTCAACGAACTCGTAAACCTTTACTCTTCTTTCTCTACTACTCGCACTCTTTCTTAATCTAATTTCAATTTCATCTATTATGCAGGAAATCGAGCACTTTGAGATACGCGAAGTTTTGCGATGTAAATTTTCCATAACTCATCCAAATAACTATCACTGTTGTTCTTGTTGTTGTTTGATTTTTGAATGGGATGAAGATTTATTGTTTACGTTAAGTAACGGTGTTGTAGGCATACTGCACACGATCATTTTTCATCGGGCGTTAGGTCTTGTGCGTCCAAAAGATGTAGACTTGGAACTCTTTGACATTACCTATGTACGTTTTAATCTCAATTTTTTTTTGTTTCTATCTTGATCGTGGATGTTTTAATCATATAGAAAACGCTATCAAATTATGATTTTTCTTACAAAAACATTTGAATTTCCCCGTTTTCTTGAATGATTTCGGCTAAGTTTTATTTTTTTTATTACGTAGGTTCAATGTGGAGAGGTTGAGGTTGAAATGAAAATAGAAGAGAAAATTGAGCAGTTTATTTGTTGGGTGGAGAAGCATCCAAACAAAAAGAGTCAGGTTAGTTATTTGCTTGTGGATTTTAATTGTGGGAGTCACCGAGTCTCCCGGGGTTGGCTTGTTGACGAACGCTCGAGTCCTGGGAGTGTGCTCCTCTCAATGACTCTGGTTTGAATCCCGTTAGATGGTAACAATTCTTATGTTGGGTCGGTCTATATAGAGCTTTGCTCTGGCTTTAAATGGCCTCTGCTAGTGGATGGTGGGATTAGTTCCCTTGAATTTGTCGGTGGTAAGGTCGGATACCAAACTTTAAAAATAATTGAAAATAAGATAAGAGTTTTGTAAGTAAAAGTAAGTAAAAAACATTTTCTCAAACCATCGTCTATTTTTTTCTTTCTAAATACATTGGTCAGGACTTTACAATTTTGAAGCCGCAACGCAGTCCTGTTTTCCAACAGCTATAATGAAACAAGTGGAGGATCCTGTTATTGGTTTTATTTGTTGTTCTAAGCAATTTCCTTCTCGTTGCAATTTGAGTCAATATGATGATATTTATTTACCTAAACACTTTTGGAGATGTTAATGTGAAATAAGTTGCTTTTGTTGTAATCAAGTTTTTTTATAGGGCTCTGAATTTAATGATGCAGATATGCTTATCTTTCTATGAGGTTAAAAACAAACAGGCATCTTGGTTCAGTAACAGGATTGAGCGTTTGTATTGGGAGCAATGGTATATTAATCTGAATGTAGCCCAGCATCTGAAATCGCACTCAAGCAAGTCTCATCATTCTAAAGTTGCTGATCCCAGAGGTGCAGTTGCTTTCCGTGTTTGATAAACAAAATCTCTTTCATATTTCACTTCTATCGTACAATTAGTTCATTCAGACTCCCTCACTCTTTATTTGTTTATTTGTCTCTATTGTGCATTTATCATGAGTAGAGGGAGCGTCGGAGGATAGAAATGCTCGAAGTGCAGCACTTGAAGTATCACTACGCGGTGTTTTGCTTCAAATAATTAAATTTGTCGATGAGAAAAAGGATCATGTTCCACCAATACCTAATCTGGAGGGTGCTATTTCGTTTCCCTATGAAATTACAATACCTAGGTGAGCTGTCTATACTTTCTAATATATCCTGTGATTATGCATTTCATTTTTTTTCTTCATATTTTCATATCCTTGATTCTGAATTGTTGTTCTGCTTTTGTTGGATCTTGATTGTAATTGTGATGTGATATTGCCTTTAAAGGTGAAGTTTAAGTGTAACATCATACAAGTTATATAATTATGGTATCACTTGAGCCATGTTTGAAGATTAGACATAGGATCCAAGATGGATGAACAAATTGCTTGTGATTGTGATTTTCCTATCAAACATAAAGTAGAATTCTACTGAACTCAAGTACAAATCAAATAAAAAGTGTAGTGCATATGAGAATGCTAAGGTGTCTTACTGTACTTACAAGGAAGATTAGTTTTTGAACTAAATGTATGAGAGAAAATCAAAGAAGAAATTATTAAGTAGAGTTTTAGAAGATGTGATAACTTACCTAGTGCAGTTTAGTCATGTTAGCCGTCCAATAAGATAGAAAAGTGAAGAAAAAACCCCTCCACCCAACAAAAAACAGGGAAACTATTTCTGAAGACTTTGCTATAAATGGTTTTACTCTTTTACTGCAAAGTATAATTTTAATGGATGACCCTACTGTCAATCCAATTTACATATTCACGAAAACTGTTCTCAGAATATTGTTTAGTAACACATTGTTTAAGAACTAAGAAGCATTGCATCATTTTACTGACTGGTTTTAGAGAACTTAAACTTTGCCTCGTTGCCATCATTTTATTAATCAATGCTAAAAACTCCTTATTTTTATTTGGTTTAATTAACTTGTTGGGGGTATTGGGATGTGAATGTCCTATGCTTAGTGATTAATGGATAGTTGCATGAAAGTTGGTGGTCAATTCTATTTTGAAGGAACTGCCCGATGATTTTATGTTGATTGAAATTAGTGTTGGAGAAAATTTGTACTGACATATTTTGTAATTATTGGTGATATTGTGTTACCTATCTATGAATCACGGACACCAGCACTGACACGGACATGGACACCTGCACTGACACGGATATGGACACATCGACACCGCTAATGTGAAAGACATTTGACACTGACACTGCTACATATATGGTAGTATTTGACCTTCATTTATCCATATATTATTGAAATAATGTAGTATTTGACCTTCACTTATCCATATATTAAAGAAATAGTTAAAAATGTTCTAATCGAATTTAATATCATTAAATTGATTAATATTGATTCGCCATATCTTTAATCCTTTTTAATGTATTTAAGATTTGTCCAAGAAATTTATAAGGTGTCTCGAAGCAAAGAAAAAAGACATTTTTTAAGACATTTGTTTAAATTGTCGTACACATGTCGTATGGGTGCCATATGGGTTTCGGACAAAGATTCAAAAAGTGATAAAGCAAAGCAAAACTATTTTTTGGGGTCACTTGATTGAGTTTTTCGACACGTGTCGTACGAGTGCCATACAAGTGTCGAACACTGCGCCTGTCGGACACCGCAACAAGCCTAATCTTGAAGTGTGTCAATCAAAATTACCCATTGGTCGTATAATCGTATTTTAGTTTAAGAGTAAGAGTTTTTTAATCATACACATTACACCGATCAGAATTCCCACTCTACTATTGGTTCCCTTGTTTTTCTGATCCTTTTGTGAGGAATCATAACATATAAAGATGTAGTAAAGTAGTACATTTCATCATTTAAACAATGCAAGTCTTATTCTTGTACAGCGTTGTGATCCCATCCCTCTTAGGCTCGTAGTAGGATAGGTATTGCCAATCATAGTCTTCCAGACCTTTACTCTCCCCTATCCTGTTCTCACATATTTACAGACATGTCGAGCCATTCAAAATGTTCAGTTAATCAACAAGATGGATGTGTTTATTAGGGTCCCTACAAATGAATTGTATGATATCTGCCCTGATTCTTGGAACTTGCTTGGCTGAAGAGCCAGCCAGTTAGGCTGCAGTGATCTCAGGGATACAATAAATAACTTTTTGGAAAAGAGGGTCGGAAACTCGTAATTGTCTCATTTTGTCATTGACAGGCCAATATAAGCCGCAATTGTCTCATAAAGCTGAGATTTTGAGAATAAAGAACCTTGCATGATTTGTTTTAGTTTAATGTACTTCTCTTTAATTTTGCTGAAGCTCCCAAGCTAATAATCTGCTGTTTTTTACCAGTTCATCTGATTCTGCATTTGGGATGGACATTATCAAAAGAATGCTACAAACTGGGCATCCAACAATGCTAAGTTGATCTTCAGAGTTTAGTGTATGTTTGGTTTCTGTTGGTAAAAACAAAAGTGATTTTAAAAGTATAGAATTGATTGACATATTTGATTTTTGTAAAGTAATTGTTTGAAAATGACAGTTTTAGTTTTTGAATATAGATGTGATTTTTTCATTGAAATTTATTGTTCAAATTACTTTTTTGCATGAATATATTTGAACATAAATCACTTTATCTCTATTTCACTTTTATTCAAAATCAATTTTACCTAATCAAATCATTTAAAATTACTGTCACCACAAAATTAACACACGTTAATGCATTGTTGTTCATATGTTAGAAACTGGAAATCAGGTGCTAAATGAAGCTTTTGGAGAAGGCAAGATTCAATCCTTTCAAGAATTTATAAGGACTGAAAGAGCCGTTTAGCTTGTTGAAATACTTCCTCATTTGTTTTTGCTTTTTTGAGCCGAAAATACTTCCTCATTTCTAAATTTCACGTTTTCAATACTATATTGCATTTATTTCATTTATATTCTCTTCAGAATTCGGTATTCTGTTGAAGGCACCTCCTCCAATATCATGGGAGGTGATTTTCATGGCATAATGTATATTTTACTTGAATTTGTAAATCCCACCTGCACAATTCTAAGCAACTATTTCATCTCCACGCTTTGGCGAGAAATAGTTTATTCGACTACAGTTAGGTTAATAGTCAGTGAAGTGATGAAATTAATTATTAGTAATATCTGATTTATTGTGCATGTATTTTTAATGAGAAAAAAATATGCATTGATAATATCAAATATTTAATATTTTTAGTATGTCAATCAATAAATGACCTATATGTGACGTATATTCAGTCAAGGTCACATTAAATTATATTAATGATAATGTAAAACTAGTTTACACGTATTATTTATAATTTTATTTTTAATATAATTATTTTTCTTTATTATTTTATTTATTAATGACTGATATTATTCATTTTACTATTTTAACTTAATTGTTCAATTTAGGGATCTTGTTCATAAGAGTCAACTGTTAATAGCTTCACATATAGCTTAATAGTAGGAAAAATAGTATTTCATGAATTTGATATCTAATCTTAAAATAAGAGCAATATAAAATCCAGGCATACGAGAACGTAGAAAATCAAAATTGGACATTGATCTGACCTCAGAATTGGCAAGTTTACCGTCCTCGGGAATGCCACCGTATATGCTAGAAGTACGAGAGGATGCGATTCCCGATGTATGAGTTTTATTTTAAAGAGGCCAGACTCAGGCTGCCGTTCTCAGACTTCCACCTGGGCCTCTTTGACTGGTTGAGGCTGACCCTCTCGCAACTGCATCCGAATGCCTTGGCTTTTATTCGAGAATTCGAGGTGGTGTGCCGCTATCTCGAGGTCGGCGTCACGCTGTCGTTATTCTTCCGCGTCTTCCATCTGCAGCGACAGACGGTGGATGGTAGGCACGAATGAATGTCGTTCAAGCAACCGAACAGACTTTTCAAAACGCACATGGACTCTGTTCGGGACTTCAAGGGTCGTTTCTTCATCGTCAGCCCGATCACGCATGCGGGGGTTGACTCTTTATATTTAGAAGGGGAGCGGATTGTGAACGGCCAGCGGGAAGCCGTCATGCTGCCGAGGGTGCACGTGGAATGGTTTCCGGAACATTTCTCTCGGGGGACTGACCGGTACATAGTGCGCGCGGGGTCGCTCGACGATGAGGACATGGCCAGCTATTTGAAGATAGTCTCGTTCGTGCGCAGCCTGCCGCCGTCGAAGTTGGTGACCCCCGACGGCCAATACATCCTCGATAGCCAAGGGAATGTCCGCGAGACAGCGAGGTTGATCAATACAAAGGCTCTGCTCGAATGTTCCTCGGAGGCGGAGGCCTTCGCTATCTAGGTGGTGGACGCCTCTCCCCTCTCTCGATTTGGTATTCTTTATCTGTTATTGACCCATTTTCTTTGTTTTATAGGGAACATGTCTTCTGTCGAGGAGCGGGTGAAGAAGTTGCGCGTGTCGAAGGTCGCTGCAGTTCCGAAGATGCGGGTTGGCTAGTTGGTCGGGCAGGCTTCTGCTGATCAGGATGGCCGGGGATCCTCGTCTTCTCCAATTAGTCAATCACCCACATCTCAGGGGGGGCTCCGAAGAGGCCTAGGGTTCAGGAGGTGAGACGGTGATCGACCTATCGACGGGCTTTGCCGAGGAGGGTTACTCCATCGCGCCCTACCATCAGCACCCTGGTTACTTCCATGGGGCCAGGTCGCCCAGCATCCCGACCGGAGAGGCGAAGGCGGTCCTAAGCGCGGACCGGGCTACCCGAAGGCAGGTCTTGACGGAGAACTTGGCCACTATGATGCGGACCTTCACCACGGCGATGGTTCTGAGCAAGGAGAGTTGTTCGGTCGTGGAGCTGTCTAAGCTGCATGGGGATCTTGCTTTCGCACAGTCTCGTTTGAACAAGGCCGTCGAGGACCTGGAGCTGAACCGGGGGAGGGTGACCCAACTTACCGAAGAGCTGGAGAAGAGTCGGGGGGAGACCATTGGCGAACGCAAGAGGGGGGATAGCACCGAGGAGAGGTTGAAGGCCGCTGAGGAGGAAGTGTGGGCACTGAAGGCTCGCGTGGAGACGCTGGAGGGCGGCCTCCGTCCTCTTGACGACGAGACCGACGAAGACAGGCAGATGGTCACCCGGGCTGATCTGCTCGCCAGAATACGGGTGCTGGAAGGTGACTGTCTGGAGGCCTTTGCAGCGGGTTTCAACGGCGTTGTCGCGTAGCTTAAGGTGGTGAACTCGGGCGTCGCCTTGGTCGAGGACGACATCGGGCCTTTCCACGAGATAATCGATGGTTGGGTGGTTGACCCCAGCGCCGAGGAGGCTGGTCCCGATGCCCGTCCCGCTGAGCCTAAACTGGAGGAGGAAAAAGGGGCATAGATTAGTTCCGGGCCTGCGTGCCAAATGATTTGTATATTTTTCTAAGTGTTTTCTTTACCAGGCCTACGTGCCTTCTTGGTGATGTAATATTAACTACTGGGCTGGTGCCCGCTTTTATATGATATACTTTTGGAAATTTGTTTAAGTGTGCGCTTTGTTTTGTTTTTGCATGGTGTTATGCTCGTTTTATTTCTGCCATTTTGTATGCTCGAAACATATGTTTGTATGTTTGAAACGCATGTTTGTTATGCCCTTGGGTTTATCCGGGGTGGTAGCTCGACGATAATTGTTTCCGGTAGTGTGGAGAACTGGCCGGTTGGCTGGCTTTGTTGCCTGGCCATTTCGGGGGTAGTTTCTCCCCGCGGCGTGAACGTCCCATCGCGAGCTGGGTGTCCTGCCGATGCTGGTACGGCGACGAGGAGTCTCGATCGAGGGATTCTAAGTCAAGCAGAGCCTTCTTCCTGCGCACACAAAGGCAGGGCTTGCTGTTTTGTTGGTCTCTAGGAGACGCGAGGAGGTGCGGTGGTACCATGTCGCCCCCCGGTGGTCGCGATGCCTGGGCGTCGCGGGCAGTGTTTAACTGTAGTACCTTTTCAGCTTCTCAGCGTTCCATGGTCGAGCTAGTTGTTTCCCGTGTAGGTTTTCGAGGTAATAGGCCCCATGTTCCGTCTTGTCACGAACACGATATAGGCCTTCCCAATTCGCGACTAGTTTGCCTTCGCGAGAGTCTTTTTGGTTTCTTCGCAAGACTAAGTCGCCGATCTGAAACTCGCGTTTCAGGACTCTGTTGTCGTGGCGAAGTGCTACCTGTTGTTTCATCCGGGTCTCTCGAAGAGCTGTCCCCGACCTAATTTCTTCGGCTAGGTCGAGCTCTTCTCGGAGGGCGTCGTCGTTGTCCGCAGCCTCGAGGGGAGCCTTAGTTCGTCTGGACGGCTCTCGTATCTCGATCACCGCCTCGGTTCTGTATGTGAGGCAGAATGGTGTTTCCCCCGTGGTTGAGTGAGGTGTGGTTCGGTATGCCCATAGGACGCTGTGGAGTTCCTCGACCCACACTCTCTTGGCGTCGCCGAGTCTTCGCTTTAGTCCTCTGAGTATCACCCTGTTCGCAGATTCGGCTTGACTGTTTGTCTGAGGATGTTCGACCGAGGTGAAGTGATGCTTGGTCCCGAGTTTTGTGACGAAGTCCCAAAAAATTTTGTCGGTGAACTGTGTGCCGTTGGCAGTGACGATGGCGAGTGGAACACCGAATCTTGCGAGAATATTTCCTTTGTAGAATCGGAGTATGTTATGGGCCATGATTTTGGCCAGGACTTCGGCCTTAATCCATTTGGTGAAGTAGTCGACGCCCACGATCGGGTACTTGTTCTGATATGAGCCTAGGGTGAAGGGACCGAGGATATCCATCCCCCACCAGGCGAACGGCCAAGGGGAGGACAAGGATTTGAGCTCGCTCGGCGGGGCGAGGTGCATGTCCCCGTGTCGTTGGCATCTGTCGCATTTATTGACGTGCTCTCTCGCGTCCTCTTGCATCGATGGCCAGTAGTATCCTGCTCGCAGGGCCTTTCTCGCCAGGGATCGTCCCCCGAGGTGTTGCGTGTTGATACCCTCGTGGATTTCCTCCAGGACGGCAGCGGCCTGGGAGGTGTCGATGCATTTGAGGAGAGGGACTGCGAAGCCTCTGCGGTACAATTTGTCTTCGAGAAGGACGTACGAGCAAGATCATCGTTTGATTGTGCTGGCCTCTTTGGGGTCGGCGGGGAGGCGACCTGCGCTAAGGTAGGCATGTAACGACGTCATCCAGCAGTTGATATCTCCTATGGCATTGACGTCGAGCGATGCTTCGGCCTTTTTCGTGCTCGGCTGCGATAGGATCTCCTGGATGACCGACTTGTGCCCGCCCCTCTTTTTGGTGCTTGCTAGTTTTGAGAAAATATCTGCTCGAGTGTTCTGTTCGCGTGGAACGTGTTGAACCTCCGCGGAGTCAAAATTTTGCATTTTTTCTATAATGAGAGCCAGGTATTCGGTGAGGTTATCGTTTTTCGCCTGATTCCCCCCCCCCGAACTTGTGAGGCGACCAGC